TTACGGATGAAGATGTGCGCACTGCTATGATGCCCTCGTGATCTTTCTTTTCGATTCCGCGATCGGTGATGACGTCACGTAGCATATCGTCCACTCCGTCAAAGATATGTGCACCACTAACTCTAGTCTACCTTTTTGGGATTTCTCTGGTGCATTCCGTGGCCTTTACAACTTGCGGACTAGATCTTGCGACGGTCCTGTGCGAGCTCGTCTTCCCTAGGCTCACCTGTGACTATCTAGCTTGTCGTTGGACTCCTGTTAGGCCGCGACGATGCCCAATTCGCATTTGCTCTACCCACGTCGACCATTTCTCCTCAGTACGTGTCACCGATCAGTATTACTCATTCTTGCAACGAACTCGCACAAGCAAGCAGCCAAATAGTACGCAAGAGTTTGAAAGCGCATTACAGCTCTCGTTGGAACGCTACCCACCGTCGTCGACGATCCATCACATTTTAGCCCCTTTGTCATAGCAGTCGGGATCGACTTACGATCCAATACAAACTTTAGCAAACGAGTTAGTCATCCAGCCAAGTGTCCGTCCCCAAGACAAAATGCAATAATTTTGCAAGCTGGCTAAGACCTACCTGTATTGTAATCGGACGTATCGAAGAAAATATCTAACACTACACCGCGCTTCTCCCAAACGACTAATGCGTTTATGTTCGTTGGTCAGCCACCAAAACGTTTATGCAGAAACAAGCGATGACAATGCCGAACCTGTGTGTCGTTATATTATATCCACCTCGGTGCATGAGTCGGTCCTTTTCATAAAGGCGATTTTTCACACCCATTAAAGGATTTGAATGACGTGGGCCCAGTGAGTAGGAGCTGTAAAATTGGGGTCTTTTGTTACACACTTCCCGGATGGCTACTGCTGCCTGACAGATATTCAAACGTTTTAGTGTAGCTAGAAGCGAAGACTTGACGCGTCGATGTGCACTCTCGGCCTAAACATTGAATTCAGTTTGAAACGAAGAGAAAGGTTGGTACGGTCTAGACATGCAAAAGCGTTGCTCAAACCCCATGAAAAAAGGATGGAAGCAGAACTGCGCGATCGAAAACATACTCTCTTCTGCAGCGCCAAGTAGGACTTTCTTCATGATTATCTGTCAGTCTACATTACACATAAGAGCAGCCGACTGATCTATTGCTTATCCGTCGGTTTGCCAAACCTGTTTAAACCTCCAATATGCTGATGTGAGCGGTATCTACGACAATGATTGATGCAAAAGCTTTTATGCTCGTGTAGCACATCGTACTATTCACATCAAGCAGCACCACCGATACTTCGTGTCAGACCTCAATGAACCTCCGTCACTTTGCTATGGTCGTCCACGGACAAGTGGTGTCCATATATACGGTAATTACAATCCAGATGCATCGTGCCGTCATGACAAGCGCAATAGATTAGCGTCTCATCACCAAAGATCGCTTTATTGCTGCTTGTGATCTGCGCACCATTGTCTACTTTTCAAATTCGTTGGATATCGTTGCTTCGCCGTGTGATCCACCATCATGTACTCACGTGACCATATCACCTTCACTTCCGTGTGTCAACTTCGTTGCCCACTATCATATCGCGGAGTGTGGCGAAAGCTAATTTGTGCAACTACTCGGACCAGGGCCAAGGTCGCAAACTCATCAGCGGGTAGCGCCATCTATAGACGAAACGGTCCAACTAATAGCACAAACTGCCTCTGCTGCAACAACCGGTCGACTCGATGACCACAATCGCGTAACTTGCATAAATGCAGCGTATCTTGGTCTTTGGACACGACACTTTGGCTCCGCCGATATGCATAAAGAAATACATATCGATGCAATTACATGCCCGATTTATTCCTGTTTCGAGGAATTCATCCTAGAAGCAAAGTTTGAGACATCCATACGAACACGTGTATCGATACGTTCAGTCCGACGCGCACTGGGGCACCGCGACCAAAAAGTGAAAGAAGTGGAGATGCCCGAATATCAATGAATCCTTTCGCCGATGTGTTAAACCCATGGGAGTTTAGGCAGATGTGTCACAAGTGTGGAAGGCCGGCGTGGGAGCATCCATCAAACACCTTGATATGGTCACTCGTGCATCATCTTGCCAATCGTCGTGCTGTCCAACAAGGCCTCTGGACAAGGGTCTATGTCTGCGCATTTGTTGTACCTAGCGACGCTGCATCTTGGGTCTAGAGAAAATAGATCGGCAGCATACCTACCGTCCAACATCTTGGCTCTGCGCCCATACCACGACGCCATGCAACAGGAATGGGCAGGTTAGACGTTACCACAAAATAAAGCCAACAATTGAGCACTTAACACACACAATGGGACATTAAGAGTCTCGATTCAATGATAAGGCGTCATTGGACATTTCGATCGAATTGTTCCGCTCATGAATTCGTTTTCTGAACTGTACATCGCTGAAGATGCTTTAAATATTTTTGGTAAGTGTGAGCATGTCACACGTCGTCACAAGTGATCGGTTGACAGTCACGTGCGAAGTCGTGTTCCGAATCTATTGTCTACTCAGAATTGGAAGTACTGGAAAAGACGGACATGTGACCATGGCAACCCGCATAACCCGTCCCAGTAGTTCAGCCCAGTATCACGTTTGCTGTCGATGGACTGTAACGTTATTAATTGTATGCTGATCGGCTAAAAGCCGCAACTTCGCTCATGCGAACACGCGTGGAGCTACAGCAAGTATCATCAAGCCTGCGTTGACTAACATAGTAGTTCAACTGTCAAAGCCTTTACCTGATCTTCTCTCACTAACAATAGCTTTGCTTCGATTGTTCAGCACCACAGATGTTACAAAGCAAAATGTTGTGGAGACGCGGATGTGCTTGACCGACGTTGTTCAAGTACGCGCAGGAGCACATGAGTGTCTCATCGTAGGGCAGCTACGTCAGTGGAAATGCGAGACGATCACTAAATGCCAGTGAGGGAATCTGTATACGTCGACCAACACGTAGCCCAAAAACGTTACTCCGAATTCGGAAGAGCTCTATTCGATTGCATGTCAATCCGTGTCAGTAGTGCTCCACGAGTTTTTGTATCAGTCTTTAGAAGCGTCCTCGGAGAGATATCTTATAGTGCATCGATGATGATTGGAATATCGTCAGAGCGACCGTTGACTCTCTCACTCAACGTACGAGAGCGGGCTTCGAAGTGGATGTATGAAAAGAAGCACACGTATCTGCTTTGCATTGTATGACATAGTATCCGTGAGAAGCCTCGAATGTAATGTGACCTTGACTATAAAGATACCACTCTATGGCAAGAGCTTGTCGTTCCAGTCACATGTAAACACAACTGTGTATAGCGCTATATTCTTGTTGCCGTCCAGATGGCATCCAGAATAGCATGCACTCGTGTGACAAAACAGTCACGGTATCGTCTTGATCGTGTATTTCGTCCTCAACTAGTCGGTTCAAGCAAAGGATGGCTATAGTCGCAGCAGACTGCGGATGCACAATTACACTTTGTACCTCGGTCGACTTCTTGCACATCATCAATACCTTCGCATAGCATATAAAAGTGGGTCACTTGATGTTGCATTGTAAGCCGTTGGCTTGATATGTTGAGAAAGATGGATGTCGTGTAAACCGAATCCATCGCAGACAATCTCAAATAGTTGGATGCTTAACGCTATCATTGCCGCAAAGTTCATCGTATAGGATTATATCGATACCCGTGGCCTAAGCTGACTTCACTCGTGCTGATGAGGTACTTGCCAGTTACTTTGTTGCCATGTATGCATCGACTCGGATCATTAACTCATCACAAAGCAGGTGTTGGATCGCTATCCTGTGCGCTATGGCACGTCAACAATCGTTTTTAGCTATCGTAAATCTCCTATTCTCGCTGTGTAGCAGGATTCACTGCTCGGTGCTATGTATGCGGCCTCATTACGCCTGCGGTGCTTGTACATTGTCGATCGGGGATGTATACAACAATCACACGCTGTGCGTCACTGCGAGCAATATCCTATACACGAGATTGGCAAGTCAGGTCAAGAGGAGACGTGATCACCTGTGCACATTGATCATAAACGCATACCTCGTCATGAGCCCATGCCAACGCAGTATCTATAAATCGAGTCCCGATTGCGAAGTGAGCGACGCCGATAGCTAGAGAAGCACCAGTCCTTTTCCAGCCGCGTTGACGCGATCCGTTTCGCACTTCCTGTTTTGTTCAAGCATAAGAGCAGAGCACTTTGCGTGTTGGGCGCTAACTAAGAAGGGACATACTCGGCGAATTGTGCCAAGATACGTGTGCGTACTACAGCAGCTGAAACGCGTTGCTGAAGCACCTTCCTCTTGTTCAGCGGTAACCTATGAAAAAATGCCCATGGCATCGGTGGAGTAGATCGGATTCGCCAGATCTCACAAACTGGAAGGGTGCGTGCATCAACAGTGCCTTCCACTTGGACCGGGACCTCATGGACATCAGGCATAACGTCACTGCCTTCCTTGCCGCGATTGTGTTTATATACGAGCAGGCTAGTGAAACGATGCTAAGCGATGACGACTTGACGCCTGGGCAATGATCGACTCCTTGCTTACACCATACATCATGTCCTTTGCTACAACCGCCCAACGTGAATCCTCCGTCCATGTATCCACCACAGGACAAGCCAATACGGCGCACTGAAGCATGCTGTCTTCAGCTTTTTAAATCATCGGTAACGTGTAGATTGTTTTGCGAGTCAACTTTGTACCTTTGCGTGAGAACGAACGAGCCAAATGCGTGAGAACGTGACTGACTATTATGCTTATGACATAGTTCGATCAAAGCAAAGTAGAGCAGTCAAAGCAGTTCCAAACCAGTGATAGCCAAAGAATCGATGAGTGTTTCAACGACGCATACCAAAAGCGCGAGTCAGCAGCTGAAAGTAACAGCAAAGTCACGAGAGTCCCTCGCGGATAGCGGTACGCTCGAATCACAAACTTGTGGCCAGCGAGTCTTTCGCGCTTTGTTGAGGCAGGAAAGCAGCGTCGTCAAAGCTTCGGTCCAAGTCGATCCAGCACCGATCGCTTCTTAGCCTGCGGCTCACCAGATCCCTTACCTCCCCGATCATCCTTCTTCTTGCGAGAGGACCGCTTACGGTCATTACCACCACCACCACCACCACCATTCTTCCCTTCTTTCTCCACCTCAATCCGCCGCTTATCATCGTCACCTGCTGCACCGCCTCCGCCGTTGCCACCGCCGCCACGACGACGATTTCTCCCGCCACGTGAGCCACGGGAGGAACCGGAAGCTGTCGTGACGACGCGTCCATTACCGCTGCCAACTGTGCTTTTCTCGCCCCGAAGCTCCTTCTCGGCACTACGACGTCGCTTTCGGTCACCTCCCGTAGAAGCACTGTCGTCTGCAGCGTCGCGACCACGCTTAGCTTCACGTTCTTTGCGGTCACGCGGACGATCACGCTTTCGATCCGTAGCTTTCTCACGGTCTCGGGGTCGATCCTTCTCGCGCGACCGATCACGATCGCGATCCTGGTCACGATCGCGGTCGCCTCGGTCTCGAACACGGTCGCGATCGCGGTCTCCACCACTGCTCTGTCCACCCTTCGTTCGGGACGAAGACGGGCCCTTATCCTCTGCACGATTGCCCCGGTCGCGAACTCGATCGCGATCTCCGCCACTGCTGCGATCTCCGCCATTGCTGCGGTCTCCGCCACTGCTGCGATCTCGGACACGATCGCGATCGCGATCACGGTCTCCACCACTACTTTGGCCCTTCATGCGAGACGACGACGCACTTTTATCTTCGGTGCGCTTGCTCGACGAAGCTGTGCGTCGACGGGACGATTCTCGAGACAATCCGCGTCGGGACTGCGAGCGCGAGCGACTGCGACGGCTGCGAGATAAAGATCCCACGCGCTTCTCTGGCGTCGGGCTACGGTCACGCTCACGATCGCGATGACGTCCACGGCTGGAACGGCTGGAAGACTTTTCATGTTTCCGAGACGAAGAACGGCTGCCATTGCGTCTACGTTCCTCCTTTTGCTCACGCGAAGTATGTTTACGAGAGCTCTTCCCTTCATTAGCCTTCAAATCATTGCCTGACATACTTTCGTCACTTTTCTTACGGCCGAGCACAGCGGGAGTCGTCTTATGGGGAGTCGTCGCATGGGGGGTCTCGTTATCACTTGTGTCCATTGCTTCCGCCAAGAAGTCAAGATCAATGGCAGGCGCGGCAACCTGGTCCAACTTGACGTCCTTGACCGTGCTGACTTGATTCTTCAGCTCTTCTTTGGACATTTTGTCCTTATCACTAGAGATTCTGTCCGGACTGTCCATCGGGTCTTTTCTGCGCTCTTTGCTCGGGACTCTGCTGCTGCGCTCCTTCCTCGAATCTTTGCTGTCGCCTCCCCTCGCATCGTTGCTGCTACCCCTCCTCGAGTCTTTGTTGCTGTCTTTCCTGGAGTCCCTGTTGCTGTCTTTCCTCGAGTCCCTGTTCCTGTCTTCGTTGGAGTCCCGGATGCTGTTTTTCCTAGAGTCTCTGTTTCTGTCTTTCCTCGAGTCCATGTTGCTGTCTTTCATCACGTCCCGGTTCCTGTCTCTGCTTGAGGGCCTGGTGCTGTCTTTCCTAGCGTCCCTGTTCCTGTCCGTACTGGAATCCCTGTTGCTGTCGTTCCTGATGTCTCTGTTCCTGTCTTTACTGGAATTCTTGGTCATGTCTTTGCCAGAGTCCTTGTTTCTGTCTCTACTGGTGTCTCTGTTCCTCTCTTTCCTGGAGTCCCTGTTGCTGTCGTTCCTTACGTCCCTGTTCCTGTCTTTGCTGGATTCCACGTTGCTCTCGTTCCTAACGTCCCTGTTGCTCTCTTTCTTACAGTCCCTGTCGCTGTCTTTAGTGGGGCCTTTGTTCTTGTCTTGACTAGAGTCTTCGGTGCTGTCTTTCGTGGAGTCCTTGTTGTTGTCCTTCTTGGGATCCTGATTGCTGTCTATATCCACTTCCGTGTTACAGTTCTTGCTGTCGTCTTTCTCTGAGCCCTGATTGCTGTCTTTGTTTGGGTTCTTACTGGAGCTCCTGTTAGTATCACGAATGCCACCGTTCTTGTGCTCACGATGATATCGGCTGCGGCTTGCACTTCGTGATCGAGCGGAGGAAGAAGCACGGGTACTGCTCGCACGTTCACGGGCTTTTTTGTCCTGCCTAGAGCGTGAGTTGCTACGACTACGTGCTGCCTTGCGACTGCGGCTACGACTCCGACTTCGCTTGCTGCGCTCTCGGTCGCCACTGCGTGCTGCTCGAGCCGCGTTGCCATCGCGACTACGAGACCGCCGCGATTCCTTTCCATCACCACCACGGCGATCGCGCTCAGATTTTCCGTCGCGACCAATTGATCGGTTTCGTGCACGTGAGCGGTCCCTGTCGCGAGAGGCAGAGCGCTCGCGGCGTCGGTCTTCATCGCGGTTACGAGATCCTTCCTCGAACCAGCGATCTCCACCGCCTTCGCGTCCGCCGAATGGAGGCATTGGCCCGTCATACCATCGAAACGGTGGTCCGAAGTAGTCGGGGTGTCCCGGCGGAGGCCCAAAGTAATCAGGACCAGGACCACCAAAGTAGCCAGGAGGAGGCATGCCACGACCCCCGCGGCCCCGGCCACCACCGCGCCCGCCCTTCATATTGCCACGGGGTGCACCAGGCCCTGGAAATGGACCATCAAACCACGGACCAGGTCGACCATCAAACCATGGCCCCGGTTGCCCACGCGGAGGTCCATCGAACCATGGACCACGAGGGCCATTGAAGCCCATCAGCGGACCACGAGGGCCATCAGGGCCCCACGGCATTTGGTGCCCAGGAGGACCGTGACTAGAAGAAACGGCTTGTGGTGCTAAGCTGGGCGAGCTCGTATCCGCATTTTTGTTCGTTTGGCCTCCTCCGGTAGACGACGCATCGCTTGCCTTTCGTATCGGGCCATCCGTAGCTGCGTCCTTGTCGTCTTTTGGAAGTGGAGGCTGCTCTGATGGCTGCAAGGGGGATGCCATTGCTGACGCAGCTGACTTTTGTGGTGAAGCATCTGCGGTCTCGTCGCCATCGCCAAAAATGTCGCCGCCAAACTCATCTTCTTCCTCTTCCTCTTCGTCACCTTTTTTTCCTTTCTTGATTTCCAAAGTAGCATCCGCACTGTCCCCAGAGCGGCGCGCAGCTGAGCTTGCGGCTAGTTCTGCAGCCTTCTGTTTGGCCAATGCTTTCTCCTCAGCTTCCTTGACCAGCTGTTCCCGCTCTTGCTGCTCCGTACGTGCACGTCTCAGGAACTCGTCGACAGACGTTCGAAGCACTTTGTTCGGCAAGAGGTTCTCCGGTGACATATTGTTCGCGTCGCACAGCGGGCATGTAAGCTTGTTCTCGATCAGTGCACTGCGCAAACACTCGTCGCAAGCAGACTGGGCACGAAACAACAACACATCGATGCTTTAGTCATCACAATACATCGTGCAGCAACGAGAGATGTAGACACTGCTACTTACCTCTTGGCAGCATGGAATAAGCACGGCGTCGCTCATCAGCCGTTTGCAAAGGGGACATGCCAAGTGCTCGGGTGGATTCGAGATGAATTGGTCCAAGGTGGCCGAGCCGCCCGATCGAGCCATTAATTTAGAGAAATTTTTATTCTGCGGTTCTATCACAGCTAGCCCACCCCACGGCGCGTTCACTACCGTCTTGCCCGCGCCTACGGGAATCTCGCTCGGATCACTCACCGCCTTCATAAACGACTTGGGAATCCCCGTTTTCTTTTTCACACGATGTTGATCAAACTCGGGATCGCCGTTCGTCGGGCAATTTTGAATGTAATGGCCAGGCGTGCCACATCGGTAGCACACATAGTTGGTCGGAGGATTGCCCAGTAGATTTAGGCCCCCACCACCACCACCAGCAGCAGCCCCAGGTCCGGAGCCTCGGCCCCCGCCTCTGCCATTCATTGGTCCTCCTCGTCCGCCAAAGTCTCCGCCTCGTCCTCCGCGACCAAACCCTCGACCGCCAGCTCCACTTGTGCGGCCACCTGCTTCTCCAGCTGCTGCTCCATTGGCTGAGTAGTAATTCATCACGTTATTCGCATTGCTGCCATTCGACGCTGTCCACGTTTTGTTGCCCAATCTCGAGCCGCGCATGTCTTCTGCCTGTTCATGGATCGACTGCAAGGCCGCCATCTCGTCTTCCATTGTCTGAGCCCCTCCTTCCGCATTCGCTTCGCCCGGAGTCAGCACCAGAGTGCTCATTCTACAGCAAAAATAGCCATCATCCGAGTGGTAAACCAATGATACCGGTATCGATACCGTCCCGTTGTCCACGCGAATAGTATACAGTAGCACAAGTATCCACAAAACAACAACACACACATACACACAACAGTCAGTACCGACATACCACCACCTCGGTATCCACCTATTCCTAACCAGAGGGATTTTCGACCAACAATCACACGTGACGTACGGCTGCGTCGGTGACAGTCCGGCCGGGAGCGCTGGCGACGGCCCACCCCCCGGCGCGACCGATGGCGACGCGTGGACCGCGGCGGCAGCGGCGGCTACTGCCGCTTCGTGCTTCATGCGCGCGAGCAGACCGCTGCCCGGCTGCTGGCTGGGGATGCGCTTGACCGTGACGCTCGTGTTGCGCGGCAGTTGCGTCGTCTCGTCGTCGTAGACGCGGCCGTTCTGGGCGTCCGTGATGACCAAGTCAAAGTCCAGTCCCTTGGCTAGTTTCTTCTTGTCGACGATCGCCTTCTTGAGGTCCAACACGCGGATGACGGCGCCGGCGAACGTGACCGTGTCGAACTCTTTCGCCGACTTGAACTTAAAGTGGATCGACATGGCCGCCACGGGCTTTGCGACTGTCTGTCTGTCTGTCTGTCTGTGGGTGTGCGAGGGCGAGAGCGAGAGAGGGCGGCGCGGGGGGTGGGTATGACTGGACGGGGGGCGGACGACACCTATGGAGGCGGTCGCGTGTCCGTCGTGGCGGGTGTAGAGCGCAGAGTGGGTGGATAAGTAGGCTGGTGGGGAAGTAGTTACTGGTGCGGCGAGGGGGGGCGGTGACAGTGCATACCTCGGAGAACTGATAGTTGGGTTGGGATCGTGGGTCGAGGGAGGGGCGGTTCGATGCTACGGGTTGGCGTGAACGGTCGGACGGGAGAATGCATGGATTTTGAGAGTGGATAGGACGAGGAGGTGCGGTTATATTGTTGGGCAAGATCGTGGAGAGGGGAGTGGGATTGTGCGTGTGGGACACACGGACCGATGCTGTCGCCATTTCTTCGAAAGAATTTCGTCGAGAACGTGAGAATATGGATACATATAAACGACAGAAAAGTAGAAGAGAAGCCACAGCGTCGACAACGCAGTCAGTCAGTCGTTGGTCAAAATCCCTCGTCTCAATTGCCATCACGACCACTTTTGGTCAAGAAGTCTTGAGGCTCGTTTTGCGACTACTACTGCTACTACATCACTACTACCAGTTACTTTCTACGACGGAGCAATAACTCTCACTTTGCAATGCTAACGCGCAGCTGATTGCATCGAGTTTCTTCTAGGAGTGTGTGATTCCCATTTCGAACGTTTTGTCTACGCATGCAGCTTCAATGTTTGCTATGCGGACCCAAAGCTGCACCGAATGCGATCACGACAAAAGAGAGATAGAGATAGTGATGGCAAACGATTTACTTTCCATATCCTCAGCACCACATGTTGACATTGATAGGTCAGCATAGCTACGTGTGTCGTGGTGGGCTGTGGTAAGCTACTTCGCCTACGGTATCTAGACAAGTTGTCAACTGGCCAAGGCGACCTGCAAGGCAAACTGTACGATTTAGTGGGACGGCAAGCTGATAAAGAACCAAACCGAGACGCTGCCTAAGAGATACGTAGCAACTACGGATAGGTCGAGGATCCGCACTTGCTTTGAATAGCGCTCTCTTCTGCAACAGCGCCGCTTGTGGGATGATGGATTTTGTGGCAAACGAAAGAGCCTCATCGATCTTTGCTAGCATTTGACCAGTTAAGAACCTGATCGTGCGAGAGTTAAGTAGATGGCACGTATCTTTTCCCATAGTTTACATGCATTGTATGCTCGAGAACAGCCGAGATCAACTGAACTACGGACCGGACCAAGTCAAACGTACAGACAGTCGCAGCTCGAGCGACGAAAAAAAAGTGATGCCGTACGTGTTGACCCTTTGCCACGGAGTTTGGCGAATGAGTGCATGCAGCCTGTGGGTCTCCGAACGAGTAAATTATACACAAGTCTAACGATCGCCACCTTACACGAGTTTGCCACTTATGTGTCAACTTCTTGTAGCAAGTGACACATCGGGAAAACGATAGTGAAGAGGTGTGAAGGGTTCAGCGGGTGGCTTTAAGCGGTGTCAGCGCATGGTATCAAGAGCCCGTCGATCACGACCGGCGCTCGAGGTCACAAGCTTTACGACTGTAGACATCTTCACCGCGTCTTGCGCCACTCACTCACTATCGCTGTCGACGTGAAAGACTCTGCGGCATAAATTCGGAGTAGAACAATGTTCAAGGGGCATCTTCTCCATCGAGCTGCATCGTCATTCTCATCCCTTGTAGTATGTTCGTTCGTATTCTCGCGCGTAGACCTCAATCGTCGCTGAATCATGGAATGAGAGTAAACGACATAGCTCATCTGCGGGCGTCTGCCGACTCGTTCACTTCTAATGCTCGATTTGCTTTCGTCGCAAGATCGAGCCAAAAGGGTATCGCTGTCGCGCTGTACATCCAATCTAGGCTCAACGTCCGTCCATTTTGCTGCTGCTCCAGCTAATCTGACGCTATCACGTCGTTTCGCGTAACGCGAGACAGTGTGTAGGTCCCTCTTTGCTAAATGTGCGTACGTACATTTACATACCATACATACGTCCATCCATATCGACGGTAGCAGTTGCTTCAGCTGAATATATCGTTGCAGCAGATATGAGCGGCAACAAGCCGATCGTTGGCATTCCTCAGTCGTCTATGACACACACCGATTGGTAGTGGGACTATTCTTCATTTTGCACAGTGCAAGCAGCAAGTTATCTCCTTGCGGCGCTGTCCGAAAAGCACTATAAGGCAGCTGCGCCACAGCGTAAAACACATCCTAAAGACAGTGTTCCGAAAAAGTCACGCACAACATCGCGGCAAATCACCTGTCAAAAGCTTTATCCGCGCAAAACAGCTCATCATGTACAGTTTAACGACGGCCGTAGATCGAAGTGTCGTGCTCGACCTGATTGAAACGGCGCCTAACCTGCATGTGCTTCAGCAGCCCACGGTCTCACATAAACGCTTGACAACCACGCAAGATGTCCTCTCCACCTCCGAAGAAACTGTTCGTCTTCGGTCTCGGCTACTCTGCATCCCGAGCAGCTCGTGCGTTTCACGCTATCGGGTACTCCGTCTCTGGTACCGTTCGGTCCGAAGATGCCGCCACCCGCTTGACGCAACTCGACCCCAACGTGTTTCGAGGTCAGCCGTCTTCCAGTCATCCTCAAAGCGTTTTCCTGTTTGACGGGACCACTTGGAGCCCTGACAATTCAATAGCGCCCCACGAAGCACTACGTGGGGTCACGCACCTACTCGTGTCTGTACCGACGGGGCACTCTGAAGAGGGTGAGGTAGACCCGGTGCTAAACGCCTTGAGAGCACCGCTCCTTCGAGCTACGAAAGACTCGATCCAATGGGTCGGGTACCTGTCCACGATTGGAGTGTATGGCGAGACGAACGGTCTTGAAGTTGACGAGTCGGCTCCTGTGGGGTCATCGGTTCCTAGATGTCAGCTGCGGATCAAAGCTGAACGCTCGTGGCTCGAGTCAGGACTTCCAGCCCACGTGTTTCGAATTGCAGGTATCTACGGCCCCCGTCGAGGCACAGTCACAAGAGCACGAGTGGGAGCGGCCACGAGGATCCACATACCCGGTCGAAAATTCAACCGGATTCATGTAGATGATATCGTCAACGTCCTGCTGGCGTCAGCGGCGCAGCCAAATCCTGGACGAATCTACAATGTCTGCGACGACGAACCCGCTCCAGCAGACGAAGTCACGGCTTACGCTTGCGAGCTGCTGAATGTACACGTACCTCCTCGACTGTCGTGGGAAGAAGCGGAGAAGACTATGAGTGCAATGGCCAAGAGCTTTTACGCAGAGAGCAAGATCTGCGCCAATCGTCGGATCAAGGACGAGCTGGGTGTCAAACTCTATTACCCGACGTACCGTGAGGGATTCCTTGCTCAAGTCTTGGAGGAAGATAGCGAAGCTGGTAGTGACGTTCTATTTCCGGTTGTTGGCATGGCTTCGGAGCGGCTGGTAGTGCTCGTGGACTTTGGTTCAGAGCAAGCTGAGGCGTATCTAGCCCTGCGACAAATTGGTTTCCAACTAAGTCGATTGATCTGCCAGCCTGTAGTGCCTTGCAGCTTTCGCTTTTCGGATCACATTGACCCAAAGCAGTTGAACGACCTCGAAGCGAAAACGTTCGAAATGGTGCTGAACGAACACCTAGCTTGTCGTGGACAGAAGGCCAGTGAGGTTGTTGTACTACCGCTGTTCTTTGGAAAGAGCTGCTGGCTGACGGAATTCCTCCCAAAGACGATCGCGAAAGTGTGGGCAACAGCGATACCAGTTCCCTCGATGCCGCTCACTGTTCGTGTTGGTACCTGCCTTGTTGACCAAGAGAACGTAAACGATGATCGGGTTGCTCAGATCCTCTTGGAGCGTGTTCGAGCTGACGAGGTGGACTGGGATACGACAAGTACAGACGTATCTGTCGTAGTAGTGGACCATGACACACCCAACGAAGACGTGCACAAGGCACGCGAGCTCGTTGCTCAGCAGCTCCGTAGCCATTTGATGACAAACGAGCGCGTCAAAGTGGTTGACTCCGCGCATGTGGAGCGTTTTAGTCGTATTGTAGGTCCGAAGTCTGATTTTGATGCACCGCTGCTCGACAAAGCTCTCCGTCGACTTGCCGTGGAACAGGGCAGCATCGTTGTTGCCAAGATGATCATTTCGAGTGACTGTGGCCCTGGCGAAGATGACGACATTGACGTTGTCGTCGACGACTTCAGAGCGGCTAATCCGAGCGTGTCCATTTTTGTCACGGAGGCTCTTAAAACGCACAAGCTGCTGTCTGAGATATTGCGGGACCGCTACCACAATGCTCTGTCCAATGAGACTCCTGAGCATGTGTTGCCCTAGACGAGTAAACTTTGTCAACTCTGCGGATGCTTGCTCTACGCGGTCGAAGATAAGTCTGCGCGTCTGCAAGAGTTTACCGCTTTATACATCTTCGACTCTGCCGTGATTTTCCACCAGCTCGATGCTTATGGTCCAGCATGTTTTGCTGCTTTGACAGCGTCTTTCTTCTCAGTCAGGCGCTCGCTCGACCGCATCCGGCATGTCGCTTTCATCCTTTCGAGCAAATCGTTGGCTTCATTGCGACACTTCGCAGCATGGAGTTCAGCTTGTTCCCAATTTGCGACCTTTGATCATACAAGACGTGCTTATTCCACAATGCTTCATCGAACGTCTTTGTTGCTGGGATAGCTTGCAACGCATCACGAAAACAATTTTGCTCCATTGTCAACGCATCACGTCACGACGTAAGCAAGGAGCGACTTGACGAACGTGCCACGCATAGCACGTTTTGCACGGGCTGCACGGTCGATCAAAATGCTCCAGTTTGAGATAGCTGGCGCAAAGCTCATACCTTGCATCAGTGCTACTTCTTGCTTTCTGTTAACATTGCACAGCATCACCATCTCGGCATGCAATTGAAATTGACGGTTCTGTTGCGATCGGCGCATCGGCGCAACATACGTACGACGATTGGCTTGCGCTGACAGCAACACTTGTTCTGCTGCATCCTGTGCTGGTCGTTTTACTGATCGAAGTGGAGACCAAACGTCACTTTTACTGCAATCGTAAACGGATACGATCCAAAGATATGTATATGTTACAATGTCACGCGTTACCGGCACTTTTGCCCTGCAAATGACTCCCGAGTTATAGTGTTAGATATGCAGGTGGGCGTGCCACAACGCCGCACACCGTTTGGTGCCCATCCTGCTGCTTTCTTCAGTTCCATCATCGCGGCAGTCATTTATAATAGATCTCGTGAGCCACGTGTCATAAGTATCTTCGCATGCCAAAGCTTTCCACGACATGTCCATGCACAGATACTGTTGCGACATCGACGTCAAGTGCATCATCCAAGTTTCGGATCTCCCGTACCCCGCCGTTGTGATACCTAAAGTCAAGGCCATTGACTGACGCCTTAAGCAATAGATCCGCATCAAATCGATTGTGGCGTCAAGACGTAGTACGCATATTGAGCGTCGTCTTGCAGATTGTAGACAGCAGCAAGCTTGCTTATCGGTCACCTTGCTGGTATCCCGTCGACCACGTTAGTTTAGCTTTGCCAGTGATACAGTATCGATGGACGCTTTCGAACCATCGTGCACGTGACTTTACGACTCGTTGTCAACCATGACAAGACGCAAAGCACCAAGCTCTATATGTTTACGAGCTTTGTAATCGAAAACGCCCGGACTCTTTCTTGCCCTGTTATGTTTCGAGTATAGCAACACTGTCGCTAGTTCCACGACTTGGATAGTGAGACACAGCAATACAATCATTTTCCAAAAGAGCTCATGGCCGCGCTGGTACTCGTGACTTTTGGACGCGCCTGAGCAGTCGGCCACGACAGCTACTCCCATAGCTAAGAGCCATGAAGTAGCGACTCTTTCATGCGTTCGAAAAAGTGCGACGAATTGAGGCATTGCCGGCAGCCAAGTACGAGCGATCGGTCGTAGTATCAGTTGAATGAGACCCGCTACCTTGACATTGGCAGAGCTTGTAACTCATCGCGTATCATACAATCGTCAAGCACGCGTTCGACCAACACACACTGGATCGAGGCGCCCACAAGTCAAGCCGATACGTGCACATGAAATCGCCACAGATGCAACATCGTCTTGTGCACGGAGGCACTCGGTCAATAATGTCACTGGGACCAAATTGTCTCGCCCATGCACTCTAGAAGCGTGACACATGTGCCACACTTACTTTAGCCTCTCTCCGTCGTTAAGCTCAAAACACCTTTACTCCATGAATGACAATTGCTCGCAAGGCCTCACCATGAAGACGCAAATATACGAAAGGGTCAGCAGTGAAACGAAGCGGAGCATCACGAGCGTGCTGGTGAAAAGGGCAACCGATGAATGCATGGAGCCGCGTCCAATCGCTGCAACTTGCCGAGGCATAATACAATGCTTCCACGCCAGAACAAGGTCTGCGCTCTTGGTCGCAAAAATGACTAGCCACTCTTTCCACGTTTTGCGACGAAGAGATACTTTGCAATAAGCACTCGAGGAAGCAGACTTCCAAGCGGGCAAAAAGATGTTCACCGGCAAAAGTTTGCAATGTCCACCAGATTTACTCGTGGATGCACGCGTCTGTACATCAATCACGAAAACAACCGCGCCATCACAAAGTGGTCCATGTCACCTGCTCAGCGAACAGTGAGTTCGTAACATGCACAAGCCCTATACCACGAACGGGGGTCTGTAATGAACTTTTCGACGAGGAAGGTCATGCAGCCGACGTAAACTAGCTTGTGTTGGAGCAAGAAATCCATTCTTCGGTCGAACGACGGCAGTAGCTCCTCTCGTTGTTGTATGAGATGTAGAAGTTGGAATCTTGACCGCAACTCCTCGGCTCCGAGCCCACATTGCTGCATGACGCATTACTTCGAGCTGTCGGGCTTGCGCCCGGCTAGGTCGGCGAGTAGTCGTTGAAGCAATTGGACTCGAATCTCGACTGTCAACGCCATGCAAGTGTTCAGCCTTCGGTGTTGTCAGTTCTAACTCTGGGCGCGATACTTTCGGCCTCGTATCTGCTGATGTTGGTTCGCTAGCTGCTTGCTCAAGCGTATCCCGATCGTCGTCGCTCTCCTCTTCTGTAGGCTTTGCGGATGCAATACGAGAGTTTGAAACACGGCAATCTGTGTCCGCATATCCTCGAGCACTGCTAACTTTTTGAGTTTGCGGCAATGCTGTATCTGCAGACCGGCAGGAAGAGCTTTCTCCAGCTAAGGTCGAGCTTGCCTTTCCATCTGTCACTCGATCTTTTGTCTCCTTTCTTTCGTCCTTCGCACTCATCTGACGTTGTTGCGATTGCAGCTGCTGCAGCAGCTTTTGCTGCCTCATCCGGATCCTTTCGGACAAGTCTAAAGACTTTTGCAGCGAGCCACAATGGACCACAAGCTCGTCATAGGCTTTTTGGAACTTCCCTGCGTTCTCGCACTTTTTCCTGGCAGCAGCTAGTGCTCTTTTCATTCTCACATGGTCCAACTTGAGCTGATCTCGTTCTACAGTGACGTCGTCGAGCTCCTCCAAGGTTTGGACACTACTCTCTCCTTCTTTCTTGGTCTCTAGTAGCTGCTCGTTCACGCGTTTTCGTCTCGATCCTGATGTCCCGGGCTTCTGTTGTCAACGAAAAGTGACACACACACACATCAGTTCGCATCGTGCCACAGAATGAGTGCATCAAGAGCTTCTGAGCTCGCACCCAACTGGCTCACCTTGATCCGTTCAGGCTCTTCTTGTGGTTTCTTGGACGTAACTGCAGTACTAGATGCACCCAAAAATGACGGGCTGCAATTGCCATCGAATCGCAGCTTTAGTGTGAGAATTGCCACGTCCTTTTGTAGCTCGGCGAGCCGCGCTTCCAGCTGCTTGCGTCGATGGAAATGCGAGTTAGTTACATTGCACGACTTGGCTACATGATCGTGGCTCCCGTCTGGCTCGTTGTTCGTGATGGGCAGCGCCGCGTGTGGCCTCGAAGCGGCAAGCGACAGACAGTGATCACGCTCGCACGCAATTGGGCCATCGTAGAGATCGTGAAGACGCTGTGGCGGCGCCGTAGAGGCCATGGACCGAGTAGCAGACGACATGGCTGCAAAGGGCGGGAAGCTGTTCGATTGTAAGGAGGTCGGACTGCAATTTGGTCCCTTGTCAAAATACCATATCACAAAAGAGTACCGTTAAATGCATAATGCGATTTGTGACTTGTAATTAAGTCCACCTAAATCATTATAGCGCCAACGATTCTACAAGACGTTAGTATCGGGGAAGACGGGGATGAAAAAAAGCCACTGTCAGCGTCAGACTCGTTTGCGCTCTGCGAGTTCTTATCAGGAACAGCAGCACAAACCGTCACAAAATTAGTCTTTGCGTGCGGGCAGCGCATACAAGCGCCAAGTCGTTTTTTGTACCCACTTTCGATCGTACGGTATCCGCTACGAGTTTGTCATCGAATCACCGGCGCGTCTTCCAGTGCAGAAAACATACATCTGATTCGATTGTGTTATCCATTTAGCGCACGTGCAGAGAGCTCAACCTGTACACGGCACTGCCCCCCGTCGTCCTTCGTGGCCACGTGCGCTCGGCGTCAACGCGTCGCTCGGCATTTCGTGTGGCTTTCGAAAGGAATAGCAGCTGGCGAGCGACACGCGCGTGCTGACGCAAAGAGAGTGTTGCCACGATGCAGCAGCGCCGAGAGCGCCTCTACAGCTGACCAACGTGGGCGACCGACCGCAGCCCTCTACGAGCGCTTGTGGTCGAGCTCGACGCTGGTACGAAAAGCGAAGGACCGATGCTGCCGATGTGCGTTCAAGATCCATTCTCGTGTGACGGTTGGCACTGGATCGCCACCACACGCACGTCGTGAGCGAGACGTTGAGTTTGGGTGCGCTTGGATCGAGTCGGGACATTGAAGACAGCTTTGCTGGCTGATCCAATGGCACAGGAGCCATTTCCTGTGCAGATGCTATCGATTTTGTGTTGAACACTGCTACCCTACATGAGCGTGGCTTGACGCTCAGTGGCGACAGACCTGACGACGTTCACTCACTGCAAGTGTGGGCTACGCAGGGACGATCAGCGTGCAGATGGAGTACGTGCCGTCGATGTGGTCACGAGATGGATACACAAGAAGCGCTGTAAAGACGCAGTTCTCGGTCGGGCTTTGCTAACGCGCTAGAGCCGGTTGTGAAAGAGGGACTTACGCACGAGTTCTGGTCTGGCCGAGTGCAGTTGTTGGAGAGCAAAGCTGTAAGCTGGGTGTACACATGCTGTGTATCATCGGGTGTATCGACTTTTAATGCCAAGCTGCGATTCGAATAGCGCTGGATGGCAGATTGATGGTGTACTTCTGTTGACCTCGACCGCGACGAGGTACAGCTGATTGAGGCTGATGAAGCAACGTTTCGATCGCGTCTACTTTGCTCTCATACGCTCATGCCGCCCGAGCCTGGCTCGCTGAATCTCCAGTATGTTGGCTGTGATGATACACCAGTTGCGTACTCGTCAGGGAGCTGGCTGCGCTTGATGACGTGCAGTGCGAAGCGCAGCCATGGCGAAGAATGTTACGCTTATGGGTTGCCTTGACGACTTGGTTAATGAAGGAAGAACCGAGCGATTCGATCGTGTTGTCAAGAATTCAGTCAAGAAATACGTTAATGAGCTACGAGCACGCGCGGGGACTGTAAATGGTTTGCTGATCGAGGAAAAGCTGACTAGAGTAAGCATCGCAACATTTTCTTCATCGCGTTGTCGTCAAGCTGATTGTACCGCGGCAGTGAGGCGCTGGACTTCCTGGGCTGGTGAGGAGAAGCCAGCGGGGCGAATGTACTGGTGCTTGAAGCTGAAAGATGGACATCGTGCTGTTCTGATTCTCTGTGTGTAGCTGGACACAGTTTGAATTTGTGCACTTTTCCCTAGCAATCCGCCGAAGTACGAGTAGAAGCTATGAGTAATGCAAAAACTGAAGATGAAGTTGTTTTACACGCACGTTTCATGATGCGCTACACTCAACGTAGTTCGTGTGAAGCTCCAGTGTAAACCGAAGAATGACACGCCGTGCTGGTTTGTTGGCGAAACTGTGAGGCCATCACTCACTGTTGTTCTACCGTCCTTCCATGATGGACTACGACTCGCGTCTGAAGTCGACAACAGCATCCAAAGAACTGCGGCAAACATTTACGCAGGAACGTCGAAGCAGATATACAACTGTTACAACATCGCTTTCGTCGCGCAGAGGGTATGCCACAATATGGTACCAGCTCAAGAGTTTGACAGCATAGACTCTCATCATTTCCCTCCTATAGTACTTCCGAGCTGCTGCTGATACGGCCGTTCTTGCTTTGACGACTGAGGTAGGGTGCTGAGCATGAGGTAGTCATGGCTGACGACGAACGTGTTTATCGTATCTGATTGTCGACTGGTCAAGCAGGCTCGCGCATGGCAGGCAACCCTTCACCCCTAAACCAACAAAGCGCTGACTAAATAAGCGATCGCTTGCGTCAACGATATGTAACCGAAAATGACGCACGCGCGGCTCTCTCAAAGCGACGTACAGACACTTTTCTCTCCCGTGATATGGTGTGATTGCAACTTTGTTGGAGCCGATTGTGATTTGCGTGGCCTTCATCGATGCAATCTCCATGCATTTCATTGAACGCCTTACGAATATGGTCGATCGAATTGCTGTAACATGCGAATGTGCTATCGATTGTACAAATTTTAGCACGATCTTATAATGGACAACAAATGCGATTTCACCCTAGCGGCTTTCTGGACTTGTGCTCAAATGTTGTTTGAGTGGCAAGAAGTACGCTACAAAGCAATGTATAAAGAGGGCCTTAGTTCACATAATACTAATGCTACCTCTAAGCCTACTGTAGTGGTTGCGGCAAGACAACCATTGCCAATTCAAGTACTCGCTGCGCCCGCTTGGCTTCGTTCAGCGACTTCCCGTTCCCCTGTTGGCTTGGTGTCTACTCGCTTCCTTCATCTACGACCTGTCTCCGTCATGATTCGACCGTAAGCTGCATCTAGCGCTCGGGCGATCTGCTCGAAATGAGGAGATTTGAACAGACGTCTGAAATGAGCGGCCACCGTTCCTCCCCGTGGATTCAAAAGTCTTGCCGCGTCTTCACCGCTGAATGCACGCGGGTGTCTTCGTCTGTAGTGGTCGATGTATCTGAACCACACTAACAAAGTATATAGGTCCGATAACTTTTCGAAGTCCATCTTGTCCAAACTGAGGTACTCGAACAACTTCTTGGGATGCAACCCCAGCACCATCCACGCACGAGAAACACGTTTTGAATCCGGAATGAGGTTTACAAGTCGACTGTGCAAGTCCGCAGCCATGACTTGGCGGCCCTCGATCTTGTAAAGCGATACCGGCACTTGCACCACATCTTCTGGCCTTCTGTAGAGTAGCAATGCGCTTAGAAAGTCATCAGGGGACTGTAATGTCTTGAGCCCTTGCTGGTCAACAAAACGATCCAGCAAACCTACACACGTCAACGCGTCCATGGTTTTTTTGCCTTTGGCAAACTTCACAAAATCCTTGGTTCTGGCGATGATAACACCATGTGGGTGAGCAGTTTCGAGGAGCTTCAAATTGTGCATGTGCCTCTTCCAACGAAGGAGGATTTTGTCTTCGGCGGCATGTCTTTCAAACATTCCGACGGTCTTTACAGGATCAGAAATCATCGCACCTTCTCGAGTAGAAGCATCCTCCCGAAGAAAGAGCTTTTCTGCTCCTCCTTTTGTAGGCATGAGGTTTGACACGTCTTTGCCACTGAATGCTTTCTTGTGCTCTATTCTAAAAAGCTTCATGTATGCTTCGAACGCTGATCGCATAGTTCGTCTCACGTCGGCGTCTGGTGTTCTTCTGTGCAAGCCGAGGGCCTTGACAAGCTCTTCGGGATCCAATCCCGACTCCATCCACGCGTACGGCACCACTCCCGGTTTTTTCTTATAGACTATTACCAGCTGTCTGTGCAGCTTGTCGGCCACGTCTTCCATGCCCTCTATCGTACGAAGCGACATTAGCGCCTTTGCTACATCCGCTGGATTGCTGACGGACAAAACGGCTCTAATTATACTGTCATGGTCGCTGTAGTCCAATCCTTGACGATTTCCGTGCTCCAGATAACGTTTAAGTGACCACACGTCTATGACTTCTCCGTGTTCAGCGGGTGTCTGAAAATCGCCATGGAGAATGGGGGTAGACTTGTCGGTCAAGGAACGGGTCGCCATACTCCTTATGAGTCCTTCGTCACGACGAACGCCTTCAGCTGATCGCGCCACGTGCATTACATTGCGTATCGCCGATACCACCAGCTCGATAGCCCTGTTGTTCGCCCGATCCTCGCTTTCGGTGTCGCTCCCAACGGTCTTGTTCACGCCTGAGACTCCCGCCTTGGCGACGGACGCGGCCATTCCCATGGCCGATGGGTCGTCTCGATGCGTGCGTCTGTAGTCAAGCGCAGATTCATTGGGGCGAGTTCGGGCGGCGTTCGGAGCACTGGCGCCTGCTTGGCTGCCGTCTCTCAGCGACGCCAAGAGAGGGGCGCAGAATGCCGTCATTGGCACGCAAAGCAGCCGCATGATGAACAGTGAGCGGATGCGAGGCTTATGCCGCGCGGTCCTTCAGATCACCCGGGGGTGGTCTGCGCGTACTGTGACTCAGTTTGAACTCCCCTACAGGACCTGCACCCCTCCTTCCACAGCGAGCGGGTGCGAGCAGAATGCAATGTGAGTGACGAATGTTTACAGCGTACCGGAGCAGTAGCAGCGCGTGGCCACTCTATCTGTCAGGGGCGACGACAGACTGTCTTATCGACACCCATGTGTGGTCCAGTGCACCTGCTCGCGGACGTAGAACAGGCGTCTGACGTTTTGTCCAGTGACATGCACAGCAAATAATAGGGTGACCCGGTGCACGATTTTGACGGTCAAGTGAATTGTCCGTGTGGAGATTATCGTGGCGGATAAAGTTGCTCCGTCTGTTTCCGCGGTGATTTTTGTCAATGCTATCAGCCAGTAAACAATCACCAGTTGAGGCTGGAGACGCGAAACAGGGGGGGGGGGGTAATGCTGGGCAAATCTACGATTCGATTCGAATATTTCGGTCGAACCTTTTATATTGAACATCCGAGGCCTACATTTCAATCAAACAATTCGATTGTCGAATATTCGAGTGCTCTGGTCGAACATTAGATCGAAACGCGAAATTTGAAGCTGCTTCCGAAGAAATGTGTTAAGCTTCCGGCGTACTACTTGCGTGCATCCCACTTATGCCAATTCCCGAGGCAACAACTTGCGCGAATTGTGCGTGCCCCAGTGAACATCGTTCGTCAGTAACCAGCAAGCTTGACGCGGAGAAAGCTCTTTCCGATGATGTCGAGGTCCCAGGAATGACCAGATAGTTCATTGCCATTTTCGCCAATGTCGGAAACGTTTTATCTTGTGACTTCCACCGCAAAAGTGGTGTTGTCATAAGACCTTCTTGTGCGCCACGCATGTACATGTCAAGTTCATCAGTGGATGCCACAACGGCCGTCCTTGGCTTCTTGAACATTCAGCCCCCGAATCAATAGGGATACAGCTCTGTAGGTTTGTGATGGCGGCATCCGATGCGCTTGTTTGTAGCCTCATGTGCATATATGTATTGCAATTCGAAGAATATCATCTGGTTCTATGTTCTGATCAGGGCCCTCGCCAAACCACACAGAGTTGTAGCCAAGCCGAAATCGTTAATCAAGCAGAGTCGCCACTGTGCAGCTGTGACTTGCAATGTCGTAGTAGCGTTCAAGTGTGTCCTTGCATGTAAAGATAGCTGCTTCGTCTCATTTGTGAGCGTCACCATCGCCAAGAATATGTCATGTGCTCCAACAGCTCGGTGTAGAGCGGTACCACGTTAGATAACGTAACCTACGTGTCACCGCATGTCAATTCCGTAGCGCTCGTGAAGGCCCATAGAAACTCGTGAATAGTCTTGACAGTATCCCACTCTGTGGTCGATATCTTGAACCCCAATACGTTATTTTCTGGTGCTGTTACACCATCGCACATTACGCGTTGTTGTTGTCGTTGTGTTCGTGCTTCTTCATCGTCGTCCAAATCGGGCATATGCTTGGTTAATAAATTGAGTAAAATTAACGAGTAGTCCAACATGTCGTATGTTAAACTCAATGTGTCTGAGCGTCCATCACAGACTTAAAGAACGTGATGAGATCAGTTTGATCGTTTTGATCTTGTTCGCCGTGCAATATTCTTCCAGTTGATTCATTTTACGAGGCGAGTATCGAGTAGCATGGGCGGTATCACAAATGGCGATGATACTGCCTTTCATGGATTTCAGAGTGTTCTGTACCGCCAAGTTTAGCACATGCGCAAAACACCGAGAGTTTATGTCCAGGAACAACGTCACATCAGGGTCATCCTGTAACTGCTTGAGCATCGTTCCGATATTTCCCGCATTGCCAACGGTAAACCCCGGGGTCTTGTCCAAAATGCCCATTTCGTCTAATGGATTTGTGACCACCTCTGTCATGTTCATTCCTGTGTGCGAATCAGGCACGTGCACAAAATCTATCATCAGCGATTTAAATTTCCATGCCGGCAATAAGTTACACGGTAATAGCCATGAACGGGACACCAGCTGGAAATGTCTAAACGTTCACTGTTAAAATGAGCTTTGGTTGAGGTTTCGTGAGCAATTTAGCGATTTTCTTCCGTTTTTCTTCGCGGCCATGGTACGGCGAGTCAACTTTTTTCTTAAATAGATAGTCATATGGCTATTCTATACCTTCATCTTCACACTAAAATTCACACAATTAATCAAAGCAAATGCCTGATCAATTACAAGAAGATATTTCAAAAGTGCCGCCTTAAACTGATGATGATTATTGAATCCGCGCAATTGCAAAAAATTCGGGGCGCATCACCGCCTGGGCGCCGCTGCGGTTCGTGGACGGGAACCACCAGCTTGGTCGAATAACACAGCAATCTTTAACATTATTCCTACTTGTTAACCTATACTAAATAGTAATATCTCGATCCTCACGCCATTGAGCGGGGATATCTCGACAAGCGAACTACCTCTAGAGCTCGTGTTTATAATGATTTGGATGCAATACATCACCGACATGCATTAAAATCACACCCGACAAATTGTACCGGCTACCACAGGGTCATGCAGCACCCGTACGTGCCATTCCCAGGCACATGTGATACCCACACGATAGATACTACCGATGATATCCGACACTATTAGATTAACGATAAACGGAGCAAACGATATGACCATGGTCGATTCCATTCACGACGGCAAACTGTCGAATGCGTAAAATACGTATTCGCGGCTGCGACAAGCGACACTGCAAAGTTGGCGTTGAAATGAAACGACAAGCAGCAACATTATTTTAACGCGTGCAACGTGGCGGAACAAAGTCTACGTCGTGAGGCGAAACGCTTGGTGAACGAGCGTATGCAAACTTTTTATGCAGGAAATGGAACGCGCGAAGCTCGAAGAAGAAGCGCAATACAGGAAGGATTGTTAGCACAAGTGACACGTTCACAAAAATGATCAATTAATAATCAGAGTAGATTTCCAGCGATCATACAAGACGCAGCAAAAATTGTAGACACAAGCACTACTAAAGGAGATTAACAAGTGAATTACAAAGGTACATATACCTATACAGAAACAGCTTTAGCGCTCTGTCGGTAGCAATCGTATCGAAGTACAGAGTGTGACAGGCACAAAGAGAAGAGGAACAAGTTGTTATTGTGGCATATTCCAAAGTGATATTCGTTATCGTTGTCTGTCATTCATCACATGCAATCAACGTGCTTGCCGCACGAGGAGGAACGTTTACACGAAAAAACCCTTTAACCGTCTTGACTCTTGCCGACCCCATCAATCCCAATCAATCAATCAATCGAGTGACAGGTCGCACATTACTTACGTCTACCGGTCATTGCCAGTCTCTTCGTTCAAGACCACGCCGTTAGACTATAACGTGAGCTTTTCTTGTCCATAATATTTCTAGAAAATGACTAATTTACAGTAACGTCAGAATCATCTGTTCGAACAACAATTGTAGGTATAGCGGGAACAGCTTAAGTTGAACAACGAACGCCATATGAATGAATTTTCGCAAATAAAGGTGAAGATGAGGAATTAATTACGCGACGAGGGAGGTAACAGACAACGGCACGTTAGAGCTTTATAATGAAACGATAAAGGAGAAAGTTTCGTGATGGCAAAAGAAGCGAATGAGAAAGAGAGACTTTGTCGCAGATTTTTCAGCACCGACCGCAATCAAGATTTTTGGGCGCACGCTGGTACACTCGATTAACCCCGCGGATCACAACAATGTGATTTTTACGACTTCCCGTAAAAGGAACTAACAATGATTATATATTTTTGATAGCACACCGAACCATAATAACTTGAAGCAGGTTTCAACAGTGGGCAATTTTGTTTGCAAAAATAAGAACAGTAATCAAAATAACTTGTAAATACTGTGTACTGGGTAAATAAAGTTAGCCATGATTGGGAAGTACTAATGACTTAAAGTCGAAGAAAATAATAAAAACTATAAGGACGAATGGCTTGCAACGAATCTCACCCTCGGCTACGCAATCAAAACAAAGGTTATTTGGCATTTACTGCATACATAAGCATGATGCAAACTGAGGCGACAGCTAAGGCAAAAAATGCACGTGGAACAGCTGAAAAGTTTGTTGTCTGGCTAATTGCCCGAAATCCTAGAGAAGCGTCGCCATTGATGATCCTAATAAAACATAGCATTGTGCTCTGAACAAGATTCGTGAAATATACGCTTGGCGAATTGAGAACAAACTGGAAGAAAGTACTGCCTCATGTGCAATGGTAGATAAATGGACACAAGATGTTGATGCATCGCATTAATCACGCGGAAATGTGTAAGATGGAACCGATATGTGTAATTAGAACCACATTGGGTCAGTTAGAAATAAAATTGATCAAGCTTTCACCGTTTCTTTCTTGATTTTCTACAATCAATAAATCATTTGGTGTAGTGCAAATAGTGGTCTTTATTGGTCTGAGTAAGTGCAATGGAATAAAAAGAAAAAGACACAGAAAGATTGCAGTTTCTGCAAATTGTATTTTATATCAACTTTACATCCTATGCTACTGCTGCATATTTTGTTTAGCGCAGCAAGTGCTGCTGTTGCTTCTTAGCATATGGGGGTAAGTATTCAAGCCTATATACAAGCATACTTCACATCTTTGGATATACACAGGAGCATCCAATTTGCAGTGACATGCTCAAACTTTGATTAAAGCTGATGCGCTGAATTCTATAGACTGCTACGCGTGCGTTCTCGCACATGGTCTCGCATTTTGGTCTCTTAATGTGCCACGATATAGTCTAGAATTACACGCCTACGCT